ACACACACACTGTAGTGCTGTATATAGTGCTGTAATCTCAGTGAGCAGCCGCACAGCTTCTCCTGCAGTCCTCTGCACACAGGCAGGTTGGAGGAGCCGGATGAAAAAAGGAGGGAGAGGTCAGATACTAAGATATTCTCTTAAATAGTTTGAAAACCCACCAAGGTTAAAAGCACTTTTTTTAACCTTATTTTCATTTTGTGTAGATCATTGTTTGTTCGTTCGTTGTTTGTTGTTAGTTTAGCACATGCATAACCAACTAACTAGATGGGGTCACTGTGCCAAACAAGGACACTGATTTATAAAAGTCTTCATTTAACAATCATTTCCACTGGACCAGGATGTACATGTATCATACACACTTATTGCACTATTTTCAACTTATTCGTGGTCATAATGTTTCACTGTTAAATTATAGTTAACCTCAACAGGTTCACATGAATTTCCCAGTAATATACTTCCCAGCATGCAGCATTATTTTTAATCAGAGCTTTTTAGGATATGTTATAACTTTGTTAGGTTAACTGGCGTAGGTGTGAATGTGAGCATTAATGTTTAGGTTTAGCTTAACAACAGAAACCAGCACCAGAGAGAAGCTGTAATTATTCAGTGTGCAGCAGGATAGCTTCTATATTTAGTTGTTTAGATACAACTTGATTAGGCACCCAGTGTGAGGTTAATGCCACAGCTGCCCTAAGTTGCTCTATAACACGAGTAAACACTTTCCTAAGGAGTTCTTTATGTTTAAAACAAGACCCGAGTTCAGTGAAGTCGATAATTTTGAGTTTTAAACAGGTTTTTGACAGATTACTAAAATATTTGTTTGTTTGTCTATCTGCATTATGTAACCGTTTGCTATGTGTTTTATGAACATATAAAGGTCAGCTCTTCTTTGTGAAGAAAAATTGAGCACTTTGTTGATTTTTATATTCTAAGCAACTTTTGGACTTTTTGGACTTTGAACACAAGAGACTGATAGAAGCATGATACAGACAATCAGCATCTTCACTGTCACTGTGGATGGGTTAACTTTTTATTCCATACTGGTCGTAGTAGCAAGTATCACTTGTCAGTTTATAGACCCAGTGCATTGGTAAAATTGTTCTTAAAGCTGCACTAATTGAAACTGTCATATTTACAGTGAAGCTTAAATAAAATATAAGAGGGTTAGCTTGTAGTAACAGGCATAATAGGAAAATTGATTCATGTGAAAACAACAACATTGGTGATTTTTCAATAGTACTATTCACTTTGAATGATTAACACAGTTACTAATTATACTGCTAAGGTCATAACAAAAAATAAAAAGGATATCATAGCAACAAGTCTTTCTCTTATTATTCCCTATCAGAAAAAAGAGTGACAATCAATTGATTATAGGTGCAATATTGACATATTTCCAGGAACATTTTTAGAAATTCCTAACCTTAATATTTATTCATTTCAGGCCCATCTGAAAATTATGTTCATTTAACTGTTTTTGAAAAAAATCGCTCATGGTGTGTTGTCAATAAACCAGTTAATCCACTGACTATAGCTCCTGACTCTGGTGTAGACACCAGGGTAGTACTGATTTGCACAGCCAATACCCCAGGAGACAATGCCCTCAAAGTAGCCATTGCAGACAAGGGGGCCCCCAGAGTCGCCCTGTGGAGTACCACAACAAATCAGGATTGTTTTTTGATAATAGAGCATTTCACATTCACCCTTAAATGGAAAATGTTAAATATTATTAAAATGACACTGAAATTATATGTAAATCATCATTGGTTAACATATATTTTTATAGCATATATAACAGGTGTCATTTTGCCTATAAATTTAAGAGGAAATATTCATTTAAAAATAGTATTACTCTATAAAATGCAGTTGCTAAGTAGTAATTAAGCATACCACAAACACAAAATAAATCATGTTTTCCATGAATGTATACCTGGCAAGAGTCCTTTCCCCCGTATGGAGATCCAGCACAAAGCATACCTGGTTTGATCCTGCCCCAGTAATACCAAGTGCAGTAAGGTATTTCTCTTACATCCACAGCACGTAGCACAGGGGAGAGGGTGTAACTGTAAACCTGTGTCACTCCCCAGCCACTCACTATGCAGGTGCCACTAAAGGGAGGGGTACCTCCATCAGGTATCAGAACTGGCTGAACATAAGCATTCAGCTGTGCTGGTCTGTTAAGCTGTAACACAAACCAAAGTTAGGGTGGTACCATTGTGAGATCACATTTTTTGTAGCTAAGTACAAGTCCTACTTACCTTAATAAGCATGATGTCATTCTCATATGTCCTGAAATTATAATTGTGTACATATATCTTTGAGACATTGAAGATCTGTTCAAATCCCTCTGTTTTGATCAGGCTGTGCTCACATAGCACAACCCTCATAAAATTACTCCTGTTAAACAGAAAGAGACGAAACAAATTGAGAATTTCACATATGTTCTTTCAAAACAGACCTTCTCCCCTCAATAATTATTAAACATTTTCATTAATGTCTATTAGTAAAGCTGCAATCTTGCTGTATGGTGTCAGTACTTACGGTCTCCAGCAGTGGGCAGCAGATACCACCCACTCTGGGTGAACTAGCGTGCCTCCACAATAGTGATCCCCGACCTCAGTCTGAATGGATGCCTGGTATTTGATAGAGTACGGTTCGACCTCCTGACCCCCGATGATCCTTCCTGTATTTTCTTTCTCTGTGACGAAAGACAGAGCGAATCAGACAATTTGTCTCTATATTTTACATTCTTTTGGTTTACAACAAAAAAGATAAATTGTCAGGGTTATGTGCCTTAACAAAAAAAAAAAGAAGCAAAATATTCTAGTAAGTTTCTTAACTTAAAGAAGTCTAGTTGTTTTCGTTCCAAGCTCCTTACAATATTCCAGTTCCATATTCATTTCTACAGTATTGTCTGGCTTCATAAACTGAGTCAGACAGCAGTATTACAGCCACGTCACAGAAAATTTCTCCAGATAGACTAACTGTTTTTGTCAGCTGTTTTAAAGTCTTTGTGTATTAGTCTTTGGATCTAAACATTGAGACTAGAATTTCATATCCTTTGCTAAGTGTCTTGGAATGAAAAATTCAAAGATATAACTCACGTGAATTTACTGAAAAAGACAAAAGAAGCAGCACAGTAGTGATTGCCACAGCAGCCATATTGTAATTGATACCTGTAACACAGCACAACGACAGCTAGCAGATTCTATATACATAAATTACTGTCATTTTAATTGCTCGTGCTAATGAACTATAAATTATTTGCTTAGTTTTGCTTAATTTGGTTATTTTGCTTTGTTTAAAAACTGTATCGCAACAATTACAGGATCAACAGTATCTTCAAAAGCACTAAATGACCATTTAATTCAATTCTTTTGAACGATGAGCTTTTTTTTTTAAAATATAGTTAGACTGTGAATTATTTTTAGACAATTGAACATTAATTACAATTTCACTAAAAAGGGTTAAAATAAAATTTTGCTTACCTGAAAGTCTAGACACAGGAAGCTTCACAGTATCTCCAAATGATGAGACCAATGCTCTCCTCTTTCTTTTTATAGTGTAACTGTATCTTTATCAAGATCTTTTGTTTAAAGAATCTTTTCGTCTTGTTGTGTTCTGTAACCATCTCACGCTCCTACAATGAAACTGACCTACAACCTGACAAAGCTAGGGTGTTCTCTTGTATTATGCCCATTTCTAAGCTCAAGTTTTATACTTGCAGTTTGTAGGTTGGCAACACCTCTACAGGATCAACAATATCGTCAACAGTTAATGCTCTATTAAATGTTGATAATGTTTTTAATGAGATGAAATTAGATTGCAATAGTTTCCACGATTGTGTAGGATATAAAATAATAAAGTTAGAAAAGTCACACTGGCAAGATTAACTTCATTTCAAAACTAAAAAAACACAGAAGACAGAAGCACTGCCGGTTTCTATGATTCATTTGATGAAAATCTAAAAAAAATCTGAATATTATTTAAACATCTAAAAATTTCAAATGTATTAGTTGAGATTTAAATGAAATAACTGGCCATCACAGACAATGATAAACAGTTTACTGGCTAAGAGTACATTGCTAAACTCTGGCTTTATGGTGTTTGTGTTATTGCAAACTAATAGAGATAAAATACAAACAATGGTTGGTATTATTTTCCATGAAGTCTCCAACTTCCTCCCATAGTCCAAAGACACTTAGACTAAGTTACCCATAGGTGTGAATGGGAGTGGGAATGGCTGTCTGTCTCTCTGTGTTAGCCCTCTGAATGGCTGGTGATGTCCAGGATATACCGTGCCTCTTGCCTTACGGTAGCTGGGATAGGCTCCAAACTCCTATCAAACTCCCTCCCCGAGCCTAAGGATAAGCGAAAAAGAATGGATGAACAGAATATTAATTATAACCACATGGAGACTTTGTCGTGTTCAAATTTTTCAGAAGGCATTCAGGAGAAATATCTGTCCTTTAGAAAGATTTAATTTACTTCAGCAGTTGAAATTACAAGTTTACTTCGCTGGAATGCAGTGTGATAATCTGCCTCACACCAAGATGATCATGGCTAGACAGACACTCAACACACTCCCTGCGTAGTCTTGATTATCTATATTATCCATTATTCTTCAGCTGATTCTAAGGCCCAGTTCAGGACATCTTCTTCAGACTTCTTGACCCAGAGATTATTCAAACCATCCTCATGTGTGTGTAAGCATGCTGCGAAAAACCCTCTGCACTCAACGTCACTAACAATATTTCAGCCCAGTTATAGCGTTGGATGAAACTTTTGACCCTCAAAACATAGAGTGTACATCGTGTTCTTTCCATTACCATGGGGCTTAGACTATACTCAGGCTCTCTGTTGTACCTCACCTTTCTGTTCTGTTACACACAACTTTAATATGTCAGTGATTTATGTCTTTAACTGGAGTACTGCATGTTATAGGAATAATGTGGTTGAACAACAACCTTTCATAGCACTCTCACTTTGCGAGACTGTTTATTATCTTCAATACATGCATTGTTACCTCTTTATTCCTATAGACTCCACCTAAACAGCTAAATAGCTACTGGTACCCCAACAGAAACCTAAGTCCTTGAACTTTTTTGTGCATAAACACAGCAAATAGTTTAGTAGTCAAGGATCTAATTAAAATGACTTGAAATGAATTAAAATGAATTTTGTGTGAAAGTCTTATTCATTATTTCACTTTCTTGGATTAATAAATAAAGGTAAAATAATAAAATAAACAAAGCCATGCCTAAAGAACACAAAATGTGTAACTGTCCAAACACTGTAGTTCACCTCACTGCACCACTTTACTTAAGACTCAAGTTCAGTGCAATCTAGATTTCGAAACTAGTTTCTAGGAGCTTAACCTTTGTGCAAAATTCAAAATGTATTGACGAATAGCTGAGGCCACCTAGTCCTGGCTTCTTGTCTTTTAAGATCTATAATAAATGCCAATGTAGCTGATTTTTGGATGTCTCTTTGTATCTGTAAATTGCAGTAAAATATGATTTCTTTCCTTGTTCTGTGCAATATTTTTGGTCTTTGGTCTTTGCGCAATATTTTGGTCTCAATGGAATTACCATCCCCACCCTAAATGACCATAGCCCCTCCACCCTGATTTATTTATTTATATTATATAACTGCCCTTGTATACAGCCCCACAATGTTTCAATGTTTCTACACATACAGTGTACAGTATATAGTTTACTCACATATATGTATACATATATTGTTTTTCTTTACTTTTGCACCTTTGTGGTCCAGCTACCCAATTTCGCTGTGCAAGAAACCGCACAATGACAATAAAAGCTCTAAAGTCTAAAGTCTATGTAGAGCAATTAAATAATTTAATATTGTGTTTGTATTTGTATTTTTTATTCATTGCAGGTTAAATATGTTAATATATGTATGTGGTTTAAAGTAGATGTTTACTAGTAGAATTTACAGCTATTGAGCTAAATACATTTCTAAGTAAAGATAGATTACATAAGTTTAAATCAAGATCCCAGTACTGAGTTCCTGGTACCAAGAAATGACGATGCTGATACTGACACTGATAAGGCTTCAGTGCCAACCTGTCTGAGTACTGAACAACAATATATGTCAGTGAAATTGTACACCTCAGATATCAGTGAAACATGTCAGCAATTATAAGAAAGTCACGTTCAAACCCTTTATTTGTACATAACTGCTGACATATGGAAACAAAGACATATATCAAGTTTAAATAATACAATAAAATAGCTGTAATATCATAAACACTGTTGATATAAAAATGATTTACATCAGATTATAACATCTATGAGCAGTGTATTAAAACATGTAGTGGTCTGCTATTCTCTATAAAGGGTTTATAAGTTGTTTATGAACAGTGGTAACACAATGACACAGCTCTAATCACAATTACATCAATAAACCTTTGTAAAGTGTTACATGGCAGTTAACTAAAAAAAAAACAGCACATGCTAACAAAGCATTAGCGAGCATGAAACATTTAAATAACCTTTAAATGTCTCATAAATATAGTTACATTTATTGTTAATTTATTTTTTGTCCTTGGACTTGAGATTGGTTTGCATAACTAACAGTTGAAGATAACCCGTATTTATTTTATATTTGGCCTTGATGAAGAACCTTCATTCACTCCCTACCCTTTAAGTCAACCTTCTTCTGATTCGCTGCCCCTTGCAAACAAAACAGCAGACTTAAATCTGCCAGAGCTGTATGTCTGACATGACCATAATAAGGATATCCTCTCTCTCATGACATCATAAAGAGACAGAAAAATAAAATAATTGATTGAAAATGGCTCTTTAGAGCTGTCTGAAAGTTGAGGTTTTAATTCATGAGGATTACTTTCATTTCATCATTGTCATTATTTGAAATGTTGGCCATGTTTAACATGAGCATCCACCACTGTAACAGAAAATAAGGAAAAGTATAACAGCTCCAGTCTAATGTAAATAAGGAAAGTCTTTAATTCGAGTCAGCTGACATATTTTATAGTAAGTGAATAGATTTAAAATAGGAGGAAATTTGTTTATTAGAGTCTTGTGGTAAGTGACATTTTAGTTCAATGTCAGTCAGATGATTGTGAGAGCTGGAAGTGGCAACCATGAACATGGCAGCAGCATGTGAACTGAGGAGTGGGTCATGCAGAAAAAAAGCAGTGGTCAGCACTCAAGGGAGGACAGATGTACCAAGAGCACGGCTTTAGCTATCAGCAGCAACGAGGGCAACAGAGAGGGCTATTAGCCAGCTAAGGTCAGGAACTCCACAGAGGGATGGTGACTGTGATGAGACAAGGCTTAGCTGTGCTCCATTTTTAATGACACCCAGCCTGAGGATAGATGTTGAGCAGCAGTGCTTATTTGACCTGGTCTGACATGAAAGCTTATGCTGCTCAACTTCGGTCAAAAGCCTTATTAATCCTTTCGGGAGATATCAGTGCAGGGAGACTCTCATGAATGGTAAAGACGCATACTGAATCTTTCCTCATTTAATATGACAGAAGCCAATCTGAGCCACATTAGGAGCTTCAATCATGTGGACTTATGGGATGTTATATTGGACAGGGCTAAATCATCAGAGGAGCTGTTAAATAATACATGACTAAAACTGAACTGGCTCATAGCAGCTGATCAATCACATGTTCTTAAAATGTCAACAATAAACTGGGTGAGTTTCTGTGGGTCATGGAAGAGGTGAGTCAAGCAACTGTGCCACGGAGCTTCAATTATAAATCGATCTAGGACAAAGTGGTGACCATGGAAACGGAAACATAAACTATAAGAAACCTGAGAGTGCAGGTGAGATGCCTTCCCCCTAAAATCAGGCAAGTAGCACACAGGTTAAGCCTCTCGCTGCAGGTAGACTGTGCTGCCCTTTGTCTCACTATGGACCAGCCATATTTATTGTTTTGCATACTGTTGGAAGTCCTGGCTGTAAACTGTGAGTAAGCTTCTTTTTCTCCAATTTAAAGTTCACAAAAATATGATCATAGCGAACAAAGTGAAAGTTGTGATGTTGTGATGGGCTAACATTCTGAAAACAAAAGTAGACTGGGTGTCTTCTAGGATGTGCTGCAAATGCATGAGATATAGCATTAGGATATACTTTCTAATAATTTTTAAAACATCCCTTTTAGCTGTGCACTTGCAGTTCTGATGATCTGTGAAGAGAAAAATTGTGACTTAGAGCCATTTCCATCTGGGTAGCAGGGAGAGGAAGAAATAAATGTGCACATTAATTTGAGTTAATCTTCAAAGATGATCATATTTCACAGTAAAAAAGACATATGACTGCTTTCTTGCTAAAAAAAACTGTTCTTATTTACAGGTAATCATTTCATTTAAAACTCAGATTTTTAATGAAATTTAAATGGTTCTTATTACATGATAAATACTTTCCTCTTGTAGCATGTAAACTGTCCAAACATCTTCCTGAGACAAAGGGCTTTTGAAAAGGAATTGAACTTGAAACCTCAGTAACAATAGATTCAGTCTAACAACACAAATAACAATAAATAATTGTGGCCAACACCCGCCTTTGTGCCTGGAAGTTATGTCACAAAGACAACAAAAAAGGAGATTCTGATAAAGATCTTGAACAGGTCTGTGATTTGAGAAGAAGCAGCATAAAATATCATTTGGATAATGGTTTAAGACTTACCCAGACCTGAGCTTTAAAAAAAGAAAAAAAAAAACTGTAGTTTATTACTGTTTAATCTTATCTTCTTAATCTTTTCAATTTTCTTCTATTTCTAGTTACAGTTTAGGAGATAAAACACTCAAAGAAACCCAATCTTAAAATGTTTACTTGCATAATGCTTTCTGATACACCCACATGTGTGTTAACCTCACACGCAGTCACTGCTGGGTGTAGTGTAGCCTATAGAGTTACCATTTTCTGTTAAGATCCACCCCAGCTACTAATTATAGCCTGTGGTTAGATGAAATTATATCCATGCCTAAAGGTTCTCTCGGTTACTGTGATCTACAATTTTGGTTTCATTGTTTAATTTTCAAATATTTGCCATATAGATGCTTTGTGAGCCTTAGGGAACATTTTAGAAAATGTGGGGTCGTAGCTCAACATTGTAAAATTGCTAAAGTCATTATAATTCAAATATTTTAGGTATTCACATTTTTCTCTTTCTATTATCTATTAGGCAAAATTATATTTTTGAGTGAAAAAAGGTTGCGTCAAAGCTTTCCCTGATAGTTCCCTGGGTAGTTCAGACACTAACTTGGTACCAAAGTGTCACTTCTTATAAGACTATAGAATTATTTAATCTTTTGGTAAAATATAACATACTTCCACACCACACTGACAATTTGGAGACTCATTTATGAACCACTTGAGATCAATTTTGAATGTAATTAAAAAGAAAAACACAAGAAAGCACTAATTATTAAAAGCTTTCAAAGAAATGATCCTAGTCTAGACTTGTTCTGTCATGAACCTTTGGGTTCACACCAAGGCTTTAGTTGGCCTTGCTTGTAAACCCATCCTTCCATTCTCTTGCGCTTATCCAATTCAGGGTCTGGAGCCCATCCCGGATGCCATAAGGCAAGAGGAAGGCTAGGACAGGTCGCCAGCCTGTTGCAGGGCTAACAGAGATAGACAACCATTCACTCTCACACTCACATCTACGGGCAATTTGGAATCAAGAGTTAACCTAACCCCACTACTCCATGTCTTTGGAGTATGTGGAGAGAATGCAGATACAAGAAAAACATAGGAAGGCCCTGGACAGATGGTGCATTTCAAACCCGGGGCTTTCTTGCTGTGAGGAAACAATACTAACAACTGCACCACTACACTGCTCCTAAGTATTCAAATGACAAATTTGAAGGCTGAAGTGGCTTTTAAACCCATCATACACTAATAATAACACGATGCTGCAATAATATGATGTGGAACAGATAGTTTTAAATGTTTTAAAAATATCTGTACTCTTACTGCTTCCATAGGGATTAAGACAAAAAATCAGAAGAGATCCTACAGTGCACTGTTCAGACTGTAAAAACCCATGATGGTGTGCTGATGGATTTTTCTGTTTTGTTTTGTAGCTACAGGGCTTGGGTACCTTGCAGTCACTGAGTCAACCATGAACTCCACTGTATACTAAAGTATTCTAGCATTAAATATGAGGCCATCTGTCCAACAGCTAACGCTTGAGTGAAACTGGGTTATGCAACAGGGCAATGATCTTGAACACAGCAGCAAGTCTCCAAAAGAATAACGGGAAAACAAAAATCAAGGTGTAGCAATGGCCCAGTCAAAGTGCAGACCTTAACCTAAACGAGACAGCTGTGCAAAAGTGATTGCCACACAGTTCAATGAACTAAAGCAATGTTGTAAAAAAGTGGAGGAAATTTTCTCCACAGTGATGAGATAATGATAAAGTGATGGAGAAAACAATGGCTGTTTACTAATCTCAGACATATTTAATACATTGTCCCATTAACACAACCAGCAAGCTTGACCAAGAATACAAACACTTAATTTTAAGTTACAATCCATGATGGAAAATTTTCTCTAAATTCTGTAAGTGCTGAAATCTGTCTCTGTGTGTGCGCTGTACAGTGCTTCTGTGAGTTCTTTTCATCTTATTTGTCCTCACATTATTCAAAACTTCAAGGTCCAAGGGAAAAGATGTGATTGCAGTGTCCTCAGCAGCATTTAAAGCCGCGAATACACGAAGTGAAAAAATATAAAACTGAGCAGCTCAGTCAGGGGCAGAAGCATTGCAAACACCAAAGAGTGTTCCCAAACAAGCACAGCTTCCAATTAGAATTAGTTTTACTCCAGTATCAGCTATACTCAGCTTATCCTTGAGTGTGGTCGTGGGCAGCATTTTGGAGACGTCCAAACTGATGGTGTTCTCCTTTTCCTTTAGGCAGATTGAGATAGATTGTGGGCTAGTTCAGGTCTTCTATTTGTGTTTCGCCCAGGTGTCCTTTAGAGGGTTGATTCTGTTTATAAGCTAATCAGATCCGATCCAAATTGAGTTAACGTGTTACCTTCAAACTCATTTAAACACCAAACAGGCAGTCAGATCTATCCTCACTTAAGCCAGTGTGAAGTACTTCGGAGATGAGATTGCTTTTCATTGATCTGCTGAGCCACAAAGCATCTGTGCGGTGAAATCCTCTGTGGTTTTCTTTATGACCTGAATAGTTTGCACTGATCTTGTAAAGGTACTAAAAAAGAGCAACTGAGTTAGCTCAGTGTGGTTTACACCAACACCTTATGGACTGTTCTGTGTGTTTCTTTCTCTAAATCTAATCCGAGCTAAAATTTGTCATTGCTTGTGTGTTGCAGGTCAGAAAGTTGGAGAGGAACGTATAGTGGGAGGATATGCACCGGTTCCACATTCCATCAAGTACATTGTGTCGATACAGACATTGGAACGAAAGCACTTCTGTGGGGGTTTCTTGATTAATAAGCACTGGGTAGTCACAGCAGCACACTGTAACATCGGGTGAGCTCATTTTCTCCTGTCGATTTACCCCTATGGATTAAAAAAGTTCTATAACTTAAGGCAAAGTTGACTTGATTGAGTTTTAAAATCAGTCTCACATCAAAAACCCCATGTCTTTGTGTTCAGATTGAACTTTTTGTAAGGAAGAAAGGGCCTCTTGATATAGGATAGCCTCAATTTGACTTCTCAATCCTGTAATTTCAACTCATATCATACAGTCAGATCTGTGGCTTATCCTGACTGAAAGAAAGCTAATGGCAACGATAAAAGCGCACCATAACAATGGAGCTTTGTTGTACTGAAATCTGACACAGATCATGACGAACGATCAGAATATTTTATTTAGATTGCAAACAATTTGAAGATGAGGAAGCAATATTTGTAGACAATGTTCTGTGCCCATTCCATATTCTAAGGTTTTAGCAGCAAATCAGCAAACTGATAAATTACAGTTTCCAAATGTCAGTATCGCCTATTTCCCTGTCAACAAACAGTTACAATTGATCTCAAAAAGCTTTATTGCATTAATAGCAGTTAATTATTAATATATCAGCAGAAAAGCAGCTCTGTCTCCCAGACTTCCAATTTAATGTTAGCAACCAGATTTTAATGAAATGTAAATGTCTTCATTAATGACAAATTTAAAAAATCTTTTTGGGGTTTTATGGATGGATGGATGGATGGTCAAACTGCATAACTTGGAATTTGCTGTTTTACATGACAAGTATAACCATCTCTTGTTTATAATTCTTAACAAGAACAAGGTAAAGAAGGACAGATACAACTCTGCGCTTTCTTGTCTTTTTACCAAACACAACCACAATGTTTTCCCAACTTCCAATCTGTTGTCAAGCATCCTCAAAATCTACATTTCCTGTAACAGGCAACAGGAAATGGGGTTTTTACACTGTCAAATTCAGACAGGGGACATTAGAATTTGCTGTCAGCAAATTACATTTGAAATAACATGATTTGAAATAACAATACCATCTATTTGAAATAACAATGGTGCCAGGAAATCTCTGTAATGTGTTTTTTTTTAATCCTCAGCTTTCTTTATACTCAACAGGAATACATTTAATCTAACTGAATGTAAAAGTTTCACTTTTTCAAAACATTCATACTTTATCTCGACCCTGCAGAAAAGCATTTGTTTTTACCTGTAGATATGATAATCCCAGCGTATGAATGCACAAAGATATCACCCCACTCAGAAACAAGCCTTTCAAGGTGAAAGAAAGTCCAAAGGTGGCAAACGCTTTTTCTGCATTAAGATGTATCTTGGCTTATGATTTCCTACAGCAGTGTGATAAAAATCTTCACAGATCAGTATGTTTTTTATAGATAGAAGGCACATATCACACAACAGAGGCAACTCAAAGTGTAAGAGACCATAAAAATACATTTGGCAGTTTCAAGCGAATGGGCAAAATAAATAAATAATTTAAAAATGTAAAAAACACTGACGAAGCAAAGCTTTGAGGCGAGCGATTGATGTTTGCCTAAGAAAAAAAGGATAAAAAGAATCTAGGAAACAGATACTGAAATCCTCAAACTAGGCCAAAAATCTATAGAGTTTATGAATTTATGGACTCTGGCCTCAGCCACATAAAAACAATTACAAAGTCTGCCTATTGGTGTCTTGAAATAAAGTAAGATACAAATAAAAATGTCTGTCTAAAGCAGACACAGAAAAACTCACTCGCACATTCATTACACTACTGTGACAGTGTCTTGGTAGCAACACAAAACAAACAAGAAAATTACAGCTCATTCAGAAAGGTGCAATGCTCCATTGGCTTCCAGGGTCACAAAAGATATATTTAAATTACTTCTACTCTTTAACAAATCACTAAATGGACTTAGAAATGAGTCACATGAAAATTTGTATGGTCTGCTATCCTTTATGTAACCTAACATAAACATCACGGCCTCTCTGCACCAGTGCAACATAATGCATTACTTTAAACTTAACCAGAGAATTGCAAACTAACCAGTTTAGCCTGCACTAAACTGTGCCAAACTGCCATAGTTGCTTTGTAACTTGTGGGATCCCAGGAGCTATGAAGCAACTACTCTGCCAATGTGAGCACAGGATACATTTGATTGGCATATGACAGTGTTCTGCCCCTCTGTGACCCCTATTCTCTTTGCAGTGGCAGAGGGAACAGGGGTCATAGAGAGTATTTAATGTATTTACTGCCCTGTCATATGCCAGTTTAGCTCGGCTTAGGACAACCCTAACCCCATCATTACCTTAAATCAGGGGTGGGCAATTCCAGGCCCCGAGGGCCGGTGTCCTGCAGGTTTTAGATATCACCTTGGGTCAACACACCTGAATCACATGATTAGTTCGTTACCTGCCTCTGGAGAACTTCAGGACATGTTGAGGAGCTAATTTAGCCATTTAAATCAGCTGTGTTGGTTCAAGGACACATCTAAAACCTGCAGGGACACCGGCCCTCGAGGCCTGGAGTTGCTCACCCCTGCCTTAAATGGTAAGCTAGCTAGTATGGTCAAACTCAAGTATTGAGTCATAGGACTTAAATATTTATCCAAGCTCACTGGTGGTTAGACGGCGAAGAACCTACAGTAGGCAGGATGAGGAGCCCTAAGTCAGTGACTTTATGACAGTTTGACAAGAATGATGCAAATATGAACCTGCCCCAAAGATAATGTTTATTTAACAGAGTTGTTACACCCTCCGTTACTCTTGGTTGAGCTGTGTAAATGATCCCCATGCACTTCTGATGACATGGCCCAAGATTTTGCTTTCTAGGAAATTATTTTGAGACCGACTGGCTTCCTTGGATTTCACTTTGAAATACTACTTTAGAAGTTAATAAAATGCAATGATAAAACAAATGCAAATAAAAACACCGTAAAAAAAAAAAAAAAGTACAAAAAACAAAACAGAGAGAAAATCTACAAAATATGTCATAAACTAAAGTACTGCAAAGAAAAAAAATCACTTCTAAAGCTAAAAAGATGTTGTGTATGATGTGTATGTTTGGAGTAGTTAAAATTTATATAAGGAAGAAAATTGTTGAGACCTGGATAAAGTTGGACGTAAGGACTGTTTTATATCATCAGGAAAATTATTCCAGTGTTACAGGCAACAAAACATGACTTTACCATGTTTATTTGTACCAGTTATCAACTACTCATTTATTTTCTCTTACCTCTGTTTTGGGTTTGTGAACCGTAGCCAAAAAACACAACTACACCTTGTTATTTAACTGCTGATTGTGCAATTTGGCAAAAGGTGTTATATCACTATTTGCCTCCATTTTTAAAAATGATTAAGTTTCAAGCTAAAGGGTGTCATTACTGTTTGTTTCCATATAATATACCATGTTGCAACAGGAAAAGCCTTTCTGTAAATAATAACCCCATAGGGCCACATTCCAGTTAAGTGTCCATGTTCCAGGGACTTGATACTGTGCATGCTAGTTTACTGGCATAGCTTACTAGGAAACACCCAAATGGATCAAAGCCAGCTTTAACACAAATACACCTGTGCACCTCCCCTTATTATGTTATTGTAAAGCCCTAAGCATAAAACTCGATAGGTCTTTCCAACTCCAAGATCTGGATTTGTCACTGTAGTATAACTACAACTGTTACTATTAAGAAGAACAGTTACTCTGTTTTATTTAAGAGCAGCCCGTATGTAAAGCATCTTGAGGCTGAAACTGGAGTAGGTGAAAAAGATTCGGCAGTCGCCCGTTGTTATGCTTATATGTGTGGTTTTCATGATGTGACATGTCAAAATGTCTTTTATACCTGTGATAAAAGGCAGTGTCATAGATCAGAGTTAGTATGTTGACACTTCATTTAAAAATGAAAGAAATCAGCTTGCCTGTGTTGATATAACTGTAGAGGTTTTCAGAGTGCATGCAGAGGAAATGAGAAAAAGATGAACAGAAGAAAACGAAAAGTGCCATTAGATGACTTATGGCATTCACCTCTTGCATTGTTCCCTCTCTCACCTGGAGACCACTGGGAGCACTTTGAGAATCATGTTCTTTGATTTCTCCAGTGCCTTCAACACCATTCTTCCCACAGTCCTGAAGGACAAGTTGGACAACTCAGGAGCAGACCATCACCTCACTACATGGATACTGGCCTGCCTCACCGACCGACCACAGTATGTGAGAAATCAGTGCTGTGTGGCAGACAGGGTCGTCTGCAGTATGGGGGCCCCACAGGGAACGGTTCTGGCTCCGCTCCTCTTCCCCATCAACACTGCAGACTTCTCCCACAACTCCACCCAGTGCTTCCTGCAGAAGTTCTCTGACAACTCTGCAATAGTTGGCCTAATCACCGATGGGGACGACAAAGAGTACATTGAAGTGACCCAGGCGTTTGTGGACTGGTACCAGCAGAACTACATCCAGAACAACAGTAGAAAAACCAAGGAGCTGGTGGTAGACTTCCGCAGGCACAAACATCCTCCACTGCAACCCCTAAATATCCAAGGTCTGGACTTTGAGGCTGTGGATAGCTACAGGTACCTTGGTGTACAATAAACAATAAACTGGACTGGACTCACAATTCAAGTGCTCTTTACAGAAAAGGGCAGAGCAGGCTGTACCTGCTGCAGAGGCTCAGGTCTTTTGGAGGGAAGGGCCCACTCCTGCAGACCTATGACTCTGTGGTGGCCTCTGCCGTCTTTTACAGTGTGGTCTGCTGGAGCGGCAGCATCTCTGCTGGGGACAGGAAGAGACTGAACGGGCTGATCTGGAGGACCAGCTCTGTTCTAGGAAGCCCCCTGGACCCAGTGGAGGTGGTGAGTGACAGGAGAATGGTGGCTAAGCTGTCATCCCTGTTGGACAACATCTCCCACCCCATGGAGAAGTCTCTGACAGCACTGAGCAGCTCCTGCAGTGCCACGATGTGGGACGGAGAGATTTCACAGGTCTTTCTTTCCAACTGCTCTACAACAAAGACTTTGCCGATGATCACACACGTGCAGACAGACACACACACATATATCCAATATGACATGGTAGCCTTCGCCTAGTCTCCCCAATGTGCAATAATACCAAGTGCAATTTTCTGATGTCACATAGTATTTTATTCTATTTTGTATACTACTTTATTCTATTTGATCTTATTCTATTCTGTTGTTTTTCTTAATTTTTGCTGCTATTAACTTTGTATTGTCCAGTTTCTGCCGTGATAAAAACAAATTTCCCATGTGTGGGACTAATAAAAGTTTATCTTATCTTATCTTAAATCTTTTTTTACAGACATTTGACCCAGAAGATGTAAGTTTATCTTTTTTCATCTACAGGGTTAGAAATATGTTGATTGTTGGAGGAGACTACTCTCTTTCTATATATGAGGGCACTGAGCAAGAAATCCTTCCCCACATTTTGGTGCCACATCCTTCATACAACAAATTCACAAACAACTGTGATATTATGCTTATTAAGGTACATAATACATTGATTTTATTTAGTTTCTTTTTTATTTTATTTTGTTTTATTTATTTAAACCATGTTGCTTCATTTGTGTCTAACTCATCACACTGTCTACAATCTCTTCAGCTGAGGGCTCCATTCTATCTGAACAGCTACGTCTCCATCACTCTACTGCCCAGACAGGGCGACCCCATTGCAGAGGGCAGACTGTGTCGTGTGTCGGGCTGGGGATACACAAATCCCAGCGGAGGCCCGATCCCCTCCACCCTCCGAACTGTAATGCTCCCCATTGTTTCCACAGAAAAATGTAACAGCAGTGAGTCATTCAGTGGCAACATTACAGAAAACATGCTGTGTGCTGGTTACAGTCTTGGTGGAAAAGATTCCTGTCAGGTAAGACATCTCTGCTTTTTTTAAAATTCAGGATATGAACATGGCAACAGTTTTACAGCACCTTTCGATTCCTTTTTATTTACGTAGCACCAGTTCACTATGACAGGTATGCCATATGGTTCAACATACTGGAACCCACAAGATAAGTGGGAGAATCCCAGTAATAACATTACTGCCAAACAATTGGAATCTTTTCTTTGACCGTTTAGAGAAAGAAGGGGAAAAAAGAGGAAGCATTTTATGGAAGGCTTTAGGGAGTAAGGCAAGAAAGTAACAGAGATACAACAAAACAAAAACTAAGGCCAATAGAACTCACACATTTAATTGCACACATTCCTTAAGTTATTAGTTATTCTTTAAGTTATTAGTCATTAAGAATAACCGAGTGAGTGAGTTACTGCAACAGGCCATGGTATATGCATTGAACCCAAACTCTTAGCTGCTTCCACGAGGCAAGAGACTGATATCTGAAGCTTGTACCTCAAAATAAATATTAGTTATATTTAAATGGCTTCATAGTTTAGTACACACATTCGCTTAGCAAGTGAAAAATCACCAGGGAGGAAAAGATATGCCTTTGGGATTATCTTTGTCATCAGGGAGGGCATCCCCTTGGTGACCCATTGCAACTAAGGAAGCAGCTAAAAGTAGATACTTTGTAATTAGAAATGGGCATTGAAGGTAAGGACAGAATGAAAAACACATATTATGCATATGTATTTGTATTTCTGCATACAATAAAGCTCATAATAAAGCTGCATGTTGTATAAAAACTAATTGGGTAAAGTTTGATATAAAAATAAAAAATACAGGCATAGGACTCCATTGCTCTTGCTGTCAATAAATCTCTCCCTTTTTTTGATTTTCATAAAAAAAATCAAAAATTAACCTTGTGTCAATTTGGCTTGCAGTTTATTTCAGCTTGTCTCAGAAAGTGCATTTGCAGAGTATTTATATTTGCAAGGCATACTTTAAGTGTCTAAAATATTGTGTGTTCTTTTTTGCAACTTTTAGGCTTCTGCATAACAGCATTTTGAAAGTTATCAGACTGTTTTCTGTAATATTGTTCTACATCTTCATTTATTTAGTCATTTAAAAAAAGGACATTAAATTTTGTAAAAGAAAATTTACTGGTAGCGAAAGGCAGCTACTGCTCTACAGCCCAAGAAAATTATTTAAGGCTCCGGCTACAGAACTACAGAGCAAGTAAGCAATGGTTCAGTCCTGACATATGTATGGAATCATTCTGGAGACGATGTCTTATCCGTGTTATTGGTTTTGAACATACCACAGCAAAATTAAATAAAGCTCGACCCACGACTGTTGAAGCTTGGAAAATCTTCTTGTCCAGTGTTATCTCCTGGAAGAGGCGATAATTGGTTTTAACTTTGTGTTTTTTCTTTGCTGTCCCTATGCCTTGTGACTAATGTTTGCTTTGCTACTGCAGTTTACAGTTGTGCTGTATATGTCTGTGCCCCCCCAACCCCGTTTTGAATCAATAAAATGTTGATCACAAAAAAAAGAACTACAGAGCAAGTCATAGAATATCAATCAGAGATATTTACGTTTCTTGTTGAGTAATTAGTAAAGACTTGAGTAAAGACATCCGTAACCTAACATGGCATCCCTAATGTTTTCTTCCATCCTGTGGTATCAGGGGGACTCGGGGGGTCCACTTGTTTGCGATGGCCGGGTCTATGGTGTCGTGTCCTGGGGGAAAGGTTGTGCTGATGCTCAGTTTCCTGGAGTCTACACTGCTGTGTCCAAGTTCCGCAGGTGGATAGACAACACCATATTTAGCTACTACAGCAGATGCAACAAGAATTAGAGCCCAGTGCAACTTTTCACTGTTGCCTTATGTGACCTAAGTTAGGCTTGTTTTGCCCTTCATGCACATTTGAGTGTATGCTCATGTGTTAAAGGAATATTTAGGAAAATATTTGATTTGCTTTCTTGCTCAAATTTGGATAAAAAGGGTGCCTTTATATGAGGCTACAGTGTGGGGCCTGTCAAAGGTAACAAAACAAACCTCCAAGCACTTTGAAGTCTTGCACGTGACTTGTTAATATTTCCAGCAGGTAAAAGTTAAGAGCATTGTCAGTTTCTTCTCACTATTGGCAACGAAGCAAATCTGACAATTTTCCAAAATGTTCAACTAGTTCTTGAGTGGTTGTTACTTGACCTCAAGTAAATGTTGTGTGAGTCAAAAGCTAGAAACAATGGGCAACCGTTTTTGAGTTTTACATTTAGTTTTCCCGCTGCTGATCTATTTTAGGCAACTCATAAACAATAGAAATACAGTGGAATCCACCAATACTCTCAGGCAAAGCAGAACACGTTGAACACATTTCCACAGCGTCACGATTGAGGTGCCAAATCCTTCAGAGTCTCGTGGAAAACAGAACAATAGAAAAACATAGTCATGATGCTATGTTTCAGTCATGATACATCACAGTTTATGTTCTAAAATCCTTTAAGAAGTCAAGAAAGCTCACAGTCATATCCAGGACAAATTACTCATGTTTCAATAAAATCTGATCAATAATGTAGGAGGAGTAGCAACGTTGTGAAAATGACAGTGCCTGTAAAATTATAAAAATGACCTAACCTTGGTTACACTTTGGGTGAAGACCAATTAGGGGATCATTGTGTGCACTGTAAGTTTGAGTATATTCTGACAAATACAGAGGAAGTATGAACAATTCTTGTGAACTCCGGTGAGATAGACAGATACTTTGTGGACACTTTGCTATCACATATGCTCATCGGTCCTTTGGCTGGATGAGCTCAAAACATGTGAAATGTTGTAAATAAAGCATGCTTACATTTAACTGAGCATATTGTGGCTATTACTGTAACATCACAAGTCGTATAGCTTGTTCATGAGTCATAGAAACAACAGCAGGAACTGAGTTTACTGAGTCAAAATGTATAACATGATGTATAACAACATCTGTTCAATGTGAGCAGAAATCATTTAAAAATGTATTTCCCATATATATATGTATTTACATATTGTTCCGTGAAAATCTGATAATTTGTAGGTTAGTCACATTAAAACAACTGTTTAGAGATGAAACTGGTGGGTAATTTGTACTATTCTATGGTATTTGCATTACAAAATTAATGAATTATGAAAAGATTCCAAATTTGAACTTAAAATTTAAATAATGTTTACTTTAAGTTCAAGAATCCGCTGGTTCAATTGTAACGTGTGCTGTGTGTGTCCGTGTTGTGATCAGCCTGTGTTTTCAGACTGAAATTCTATTAGTCAGAAAATGATCACTGCCAATTTGACATGATATATTCATGGTCTGTTTTAATGTAGTTGCATAAACTGTAATGTTTTTTTTTTCTTTTTTTTTAACTTTCATTAATTTCTTATTCTTCTTTTTTTTCATGCACTCTCTGCCTAACGTCTGTGTGTGCATTTACACAGTAAATGTTACAGCCATCAGCCTTAAGTTAGGTGGAGACCTTCAATAACGCGTTACATGGGCTTTTCGGATAGATAACTCACAACTCTTCATGCCATGTCGCTTGTACAAGTCAGTAAAAGCCTCTGCAGGGGAACAATTAATAAGCCACTACACTGATAAATTATTTAAAACTACAGCAATCACATTTGATATGGAGTGTAAATCTTGGCTGCTTGTCATTAGCCTTACTCAAGCCACAGAAGAATTACCCTAAAACTGGAATACCTTCATGAAATATGCATGGAGCCAGTCGTTGGACTCCTTCCTCCTCCTCACCAGCAGAGATTCCCGCAAGGGCGAGCCGTCACGAAGCCAGGTGAAATCAGTACAGACTGCATCACACCTGATAGGTGTTGGCTTATCACAGCAGAATGAATACTTGATGGCCTACTTTAGAGGGAGCTCTAGTTTCATGGCTGGTCCTGTTTGCTCTGTGTTGATGGGTGTGTCAGTGCCCCTTGTGATTGATGGATTTCAGGGTCTTTTATGCTGCAAATCTTACAGGCTTGGTTACACAAAGGCTTATTCCCTTTGTTCTGGCATGAGAAAGCCACACTCAGGAGTGTCACCTGACATGATTGATCCTAAGCTCCCTATATGCACCCTAGGTCACAAAAAGAAATGTACTTTAATGGGTTTCACAGAAAGGTATTAACTGAGCCATACATATTGTGACCATTCTCTAAACATTTTCTCCCAATGGGCTTTTATCTGCTGGGAACACAAAACGTGTTTTACAATGATAATGGCCTCTGTTACTCAAACTAGGTCGACAGCATCCATTATTTTCTAACAACTGAAAAGCAAAGTTGATTTTAAAACCACAGTTCTACATGTGCAGTTTTTGGGTTGGGATGATGTACTGATATGTGGCAAGTGGTGATAATATGATTCTTTGTATAGAGGTAAGTAAAGGAGCATCGTTCAGAATTTAACTGGAAAGCTACCAGAAAACTATTACCAGTGACACCTGTGGCCATTAGACTAACTTAGTCTGTATTCTCTTACTCCTAATCGTCACATGCTAGCATACCATGTGTGACTAACATTAGCCAAAATGGTGATAAAACATTTGCAAGACTATCCTGCATTGTATTCATGAACTACTATATTGTATGTGCTCTTTGTCATGTATAATTTACACTGAGTGAGAAACCTTTATATAAAGTTTACTGTATACTGTGTACCAAGCTTACTAATTACAACAAATTTGATTTTAACAAACCCAATCTGGGCATCCCTCATGACTATTAGTGTTGCAAACAATATTATACACCGTTGAATTGTGTTTATATCATTTATTGTTCATTAAAAAAAACATTTACATAGTTTCTTAGTATGATTCATAATGGTATATGCTTATTTATTCTCAATATTGTTGCAATTACTTATTGTCAGCAGATTAGGCATGCAACTCTCCTGTCTCTGAACAGTTACAAATGAGCTTGCTAAACAAAAACAGCTGGCTATAAGCTAATGCTATGCTAGCTAATGTTTAGCTCACGTTTCAAGCTTTATCTCTGATAAACAGTTTGGATACACTGTCACATCATATGACACTTTATTTGCTAAGTGTGCGAGTCCAACAATGTTAGATCAACTTTAAAGAAAATTTAGCTAATTCCAGCTAACAGAGGCTAACAGAGGCTAGCAGAGGCTAACAGAGGCTAACAGAAGCTAACAGCGACAAAAACAGTAGCATTTACTGATAGAAATTTCTTCAACAACTCAGCTCATTATCGCTGTCATCAAAGAGAAGTGAACTTTATCGACTCATCTATTCCTTTCACAAGGATTTACAGCCTCCACTACTATAAAAATATGTGGGCACCTGGCATATTGACAGGTGAGATGAAAAACAGATTGACAGCCTAAATTCTCTACAGATGAACGGCAGCCAGATTTGGTTGTCCTACAGCGTCCACCATAGCTGTGATTATGCATTTGAATAGGGAGGGTTAAGAAAACAGAATTACGTTGACTGCAGTATGGAATCTGCAGACATCTAATAGTGATATTTTACACATTGTAATTGTGTCACTATTGTGAAATCATGAACATTTTAAAGACTTAAGCATACTGTAGATCCTATATAGCTGCTGGTGTTTAATGAATTAAAACAACCCCAACCAACACACATGGCTCCTGTTAACATTTTGTCAAACTAGGATAAGACTATGTTCACACCTAGGTCTCATTATTAACCTCTTGCAGACAGGTCTACACCTCTGGTAAATCATGCACATATATTTTGTGCATGTGACTGTGACTGTTGGCAACCCAGTGATAGTCTTGAGCCATGCATGCATGCACTGTCCTATCTGGACCAAATTGCCTATTGCTGAGACTCAGGAACCTTTTTGAAGATAAATGCAGACAGATAAGAGGAACTCGCAACAACTCACAACAGAAAAGAAAAAAAATACGTAGCTATTTATAAGAGATGACAGAGGTTTTAAAATGCACATGACTTATCTGAACCACCAGGGGGCATTTGATCATTAAAGCATAATGAATAAAAAAACAACAGATGAGGTTCAGGCCTGCTGGCACTTCCTCCTCTTCGCCTCCTCTCTGATTATAATAAGCCTTTCCTCTGAAGTGTTGTGTCTGCACTTAAACCTGTTACATCATCTTTCTGAATTTAAATTATTATGTATATTTAAAAAAGTAAAAGTTCTGAAAGGTGTCTTTACATTGCTAGTACTCCTCTATTAGAAGCAGAAGGGGGGAAGAACAGCACAGGAATAGCCTTTGTTACCTGAATGTTCCTGGTCCTTTCTACTTATTTTTGCTCAGGTGCAGAGTCTTGGAGGCCAGACAGCTGTTCGAGTTCAGTGGGATGCCAGGAAGCTTCGAGCTGAGATGAAAACGTGACGGGATTATTGTGCAGTCCTCTCAACAAAACCAGAGTCACTCAACTTCAAAAACAACCTCTTTTGGCTTTCTTTCTTCTTCTTTTCTTTCTCTTTTGACCCTGAAGACAGTTCATACTTTATTTAAAAATAAATAAATCTCTCCTTAATTCTTTAACATGACTTCAGCCAGGGGGCCTTTTTGAATCTGGGACAAGAAGCATGTGTAAAATATGCAGAAGATGGAATAATTGGCTCAGAGGCAAAGCTTGAATTATGTTTTTTTCCCCCCCTATTTTATACAGGATAATCGTTACAACAACGTGCAAACATTTATATACAGACACGGACAGAGGGGCTATCAGAAAATAGCCTGCCTTTATTACTGTGCAGTCAGGCATTCTCTCATAGTTGCTTCTTATAGTAATAACATTCTATTTGGTACCAAAAATAGATGCTGGTCTTGAACAGGAGCACAGATTCACTGGATAATGAGTAGGCTGGGTGACTGAATGAGCCGCTCGAGTTCAGACTACTTCCACTCTACAAAATACAGCTCTGGGAGAGT